TGTGTCCAGCCCAGTTTCCCTTCTCTGACAGTGGTCAGTACACAGTATGCGTTCCCAGTTTGTAGCAGTCTGTTGCTTAGGGACTAACCTGAGCCATAGGCTCTGTGCACCACTGTTGAAGACCTTACGCATAAAATGGTCTAATTCTTTAACTCCTTTTTTTATTTGGGGGGGAAGGGGTTTCTACAGCATCCTGTGACAAGAATTTCAGTATTGTAACTGTAGAGTACATGTAAAAGTATGTTTCTCTTACAGCTTGATCACTTTCATTTGATACCTTACCATTTATTTTGTGAAGAGCAGTATACAGTTGTCTCCTGTTTGCCATCTCATTTATGATTTTATAGACCTAGAAACTCTATATTTTCTGCTTTATCTTTTCTAGAAGTTAAACTTCATCTGTTTAATCTCTCCTTGTGTGGGATTGTTCCATGGCCCTGGCCATTCCTCCTGCCCTTTTTACCATTTTAATTCTATTATGTTCTTTATAAAGAAAAGGAAAAAAAAATCGAAATACCATGTAGTATGCAAAATAACGGTATTCCAGGAGTTACATAGTGATACAGTGGAGTTTTTGTGGGTTTTTTTTTTCCTTCCCTTCCTCTCTCCAGTCTATTTTCTTGATTGCCGTAGAGCTGAGTGATCTACAGGGATTCTGGGATTTCTTTCCTTAGCAGTGTAATGGCTAATTGAGAACCCATCATTGCATATGCACCTTAAGGCTCTTCTTTCATGTCCTGCTTAAAATAAACAGAGAACTCAACCTAAACTTAAAATCCTGTCTAGTAAAAGCTGCTGCTCATTGATACTTTACTTCTGCTGCATGGCTCTCCCGTGAGGGATTTTGTGCAAAATGGGTTATTTTCAAAAGCAAGCATCCTCTGTTCTGTCTTGTTTACAAGTGAAAGTAATAACTCAGGATGCCTGAGCCTGTTTCTGGGTTTGTGTTTGCTTCAATCATTTAGGTTAATAAGATACACTTTTGTTTGTATGTAATTTTTGAAAGAATAAGTAGGCTTCTGAAAGTTCACTTGATACATCATATTGTAGCTAACGAGGCAAGATGAGCTGTTAAGTACCTAAGGGAGCCTTTTGGTCATCCAACCCAAATACTGTAATGCAGACAGCTATGCACAGTAAGGAAGTGATGCATGTGTCTAGGCTATGAATTGAGCTCTAGGATGCATTTTGGCAAGCTATCAAGTTTTGACTGAAAGACTTCAAGAAGTGCTGTTTCTATTATCTTAATTACTTTGCTCAATGGTTATTTCTGGTTACTTAAAAGTGTGATTGAATTAGTCTAGCCTTACCTTTCTGCAATCCGATCTGGTTATGACTTTATTTAAAGAGACCTCTACTATCAGAAGTCATCTAATGTAGGTGCAGCTAGGCCATGCCCAGGTTTACTGCCTGACTGCCTCTTACATAAAATAGGCTGCTTTATTTTTACTGAACTTGGTCTTGAAATGGAGAAGAGTAAAAATGTTATGCCATTGAGGAAATACATTACTTCATTGGCCCTATAATCAACAACCTAAAAGCATGCTGTGGCAGAGGTGTTTATAGCAATGCAATGTTAGGCATCCACGCCTGGCTCTGTACTGTGTATTTTATGCAAATAGTTCACTGAATACAGACCTGCCTGTCATCAAATTTTCAGTTATGGTAAGTATTAGCTTCCACAATCCCTCATGATGTTAAACATTCAGATATTAGTTACTTTTCTGCAGTACTGCATGCAGTAACAGCCTTTATGTGTCAAGGTAGAGAACTGCTGGAGAAAACTAGTCTCAGATGTCAACCAAAAAGATGTTGGGAAGGAACTTGTGACACTGTTTCTGATCTTGCATGCTTAACATTTAGTTTTCAAAAGTGGTTCTAATATCTGAGTCCTAAGAGACAATGAGAGAGGCTATATCCCTTTTTCTGGGACTTCTTGGCTGAGTCAACTTCATTGACGATTCTTAAACTGCTTTAAATTATCTTTCAGTGTTGAGGAAATGCGTCCAATTATAAGGCTAATTTTTGGAGGATCTACAAAAGCAAGAATCCATTATTATGTCAATAGAAATAATTGACTCCCGTTGCTCTAATAACTTTCAGAGAATAGGAAAACTTGTACTTCTATATATTTTTAATTAGAGAAGTTAGTAGATTTAAACAATTTTTATTAGTCAAAACACTTTTAAGAAATGGTCAAGTCAAAATGCAGAATAAAGTATTTTAAAAGTACATAAAACATTCATTACTAGGTTAAAAGTGGCATGAGCGAAACACTGCTTTATACTTTGGGAAAAACTTGAGGTCACTTCAGACATATTCTACTTTTTATATTTAGTTTTCTCTTTACATACTTTCCTCAAGCAAGTCTATAATTTGACTGTGACTAGAATCAAGGATTTTCTTTTCTTGTCTACTCCTTATAACTATCATCAGGCATTTTCTTCTAACTGCTAAAAAAAGGCAAATTAAAACCTTAGCATGTTGGTAAACCGGTTCGTTAACTGGTAAAACAGATGAGTCCATTAAGAAAAAACTGCTGTATTTTGACTGTATTTTTAAACTATGTCCACTTCATGTTAACTTTTTCCATTATTTTGTAAAATACAGTGGGGACCAAAGCTTCTCCTAAGGGGAAAATAAGCCACAACATTTTTTAAAAGAAGGGGGTGGGGGAAAGAGAGAGTGGAAGAGGAGTCAAAGCTTCAAGAAGTAAGAGAATTTGTCTTTAATTTTGGAGTGGCTGGCGACAAGTGAGGCCAAAGCCTTTCTCACTGGAGTAGACACTAAGAGACCTGCATGTGAAATGCTAATTGGTTTTTAGCTTGTTGACTGCTATAATTGTTGCTTAATTACTTAATTGAAATGATTTCCCTCTAAAATTGCTGGGGCCCCTTTTTGCCTTGGAGTTGTACTTAAGCTAATTGGAAATACTCCAAATGATTTAAACGGGAGAGAAATAAGGCCTTTTGTCTGATTGATTGCAGTCACTACTTCTCCTACCTTGACTATGTCTGTGTTGGTCAAGTATTCTTGGGGTCAACACGTAGCGTGGAGTTGGGTCCTGTTGGTCTCTGTGCCCCTGTAGGGAACCACAGGGGTTGGGATATCTCACTGGCAGACTACGTAATCAGCCTGTCTTCTGGCTGCACATGCTCGTGTAGAGAGGTGTCGTCTGGTTCAGTGGTCCCCTGTTCCTGGGCAGAAGTATCAGGAGGGAGATGTATCCACCTCTCCCTTCTCTGGTTGTTCCCCACCACCCAGGTTCAGAGCCTCTGTTGGTGTCCTTTTCTGGTGGTCATTGCTGCAGTCATGTTTTCAAGGAAGTTAAATGGTATGTCTGGTCCGTTGTTTGTAAGCATAGAGGATTGTCACAGTGGCTAGCTTGAGTCCCGTGAGCCTAACCCACCTTGGCTGCGGTGCGGGTAGTAGACAAAGAAAACCTCTGCTGTGTATCATCACCTGAAAGAGCCTCTCTTGATTATAAAGAGAGCCTTGAGGAAATAGCTTCGTTACACTAAGGTTAGCTTTTCCAATTACCTTTCTCCTTTCTTCCCCTTCCTACCTGCAGGTTCTCACTCACAGGAGGATGAGTCTTGTGTGTTGTGAAAAGTCTCCCAATTTTTCGTCTGATGAGCTAGAGATGCACTGAATATAATTGAAGAAGTTGAAATTTTCTCTGGAAAAGTAATTGAGGTCAGTGGCAGTGAAGGGAGAAAATTCCAACAGTTCTTGAGCATTTGTAGTTAGGTGGCTGGCAGCAGCCGTTGTTGGGGTTATTTTTTTTTTCCCCTCTTCTCCCTGTGTTTTGGTCTTGGTGAGAATGGCATGCTCTTACCGTGACCTGATACTGCAGGGAGTGGGAAACACATTTCTTCAAGGAAATACGTGAGAACAGATCTCTCTAAAACTAGTCTCCTCTTCCCATCTCCCGTGTGTCCCTCAAAAAGGAAGAGATGTCACCACTTTCTGTTCCTGTTTAAAAGTGGCATC